ATTTTTGTTAATCTATGGAAAAACCTGATTAACCAAGCACTACCAATCTATAAGCTGTCCTATGAGGCCAGGGGATGTCCTCACAAATTTGACCAAATTTGGGGCTCGTGGACAGAGCTATTTGACACCTGGGCTGGATACGTAAATAGCTCTTCTAAGAATTAACTGGATGCTGGAGTTGTTCTGTGTGTAGAGGACTCAATTCTTACTTTTAATGTTACTCACAGGATAGTGGCATGTATTTCTTCTGTACAGGGAAACTGTCTAAGTAATTTCTGTTATCCTGTTTTCAATGAACCCTGGAGGCTTTCCTTTTGGACCACTGGATGTAGGTGTTCTTTTTGGTTTTTTTTTTTCTTTTAAGAATTTTCAAACCATAGACAACTTTGCATTGTTATATACAGTGTTGTTTCACAATTACTGTGGGTGATTCTTAAGCTCATATTGTTTGTAGGCATACTCTTCCTGCGGGAGGTAGTGGCTGTTTTGTTGGTCTGTATACTTTGTTTACAACGCATTGGTCATGCTGTATTGTATGTTTAATAAAACGCTGTTTTTTTAAAAAAAAAAAAAACTATAATTTTCAACATCTTTTTAAATTGCAATTAGTATCTGTGTGTAAATGAGACGTGTGGAAATTTATGAGAAAAACTACTTGTTCAGGGACTAAATCGGTGTCCCACTCTACTTGTCCCTCATGACAATCTACTTGTCCTGCTTTAAAAAAAAAAAAAAAAAAAAATCAATTTTAACCAAAAATTAGGAATGTCTGGTACCTCATATGGAAAAAGTCCCCTATCTGATGATTTTTTGGGGACAGGTTCTCTTTAATGAGACATCCATGGTCTAAAAGACCCTGCATATCTCCCCTGTGCTCCCCTGAATGTAATGCAGTGTACATCGCATCTCATTACACTCTTTCCCAGCCTCAATGGCCAGGAATCTGTGATTGGGGACCTGTTAGTGACGTCAAACATCACTTCCGGGTCAGGACAAGAAGGGGAGGGGAGCGGACGTGTTTGCTCTCTTCTCTCCTCTCTAGATGCCGACGCACACTGAGCCAGTCCCGGACCAGCAGATGGGCAATTGGAGCCCAGGACACTTGGTTGGGGGGGGGGGGGGGGGGTTCTTACGGGGGTGGAGGCCGGCACTGTGGGCTGTGTGGAAGCAATCGGGCAGCAGTGCTAAAGGTTGAATAAAGCTAGCTGCCCGACATCCGGAACTACATGTCCTGGGCATCGGGTGTGATACAAATTCAACATCCATGATAGTCGGGGAGTTTGTTAGCTCTCACGTGGATGCACTGAGAAGGCTAGATACTGAGCCATGGGGAGCAGAAAAGAACTGTCAAAAGACCTGTGTGACAATGCAGTGGAACTTTATCAAGATGGAAAAGGATATAAAAAGATATCTAAAACCTTGAATATGCCAGTCAGTACTGTTCAATCACTTATTAAGAAGTGAAAAGTTTCGGGATCTTTTAATACCAAGCAAAGATGCAAGAAAGATTGCAACCACAACTGCCAGAAGATTGCTCGGGATACAAAAGAAAAACCCACAGGTAACATCAGGAGAAATACAGGCTGCTCTGAAGTAAGACCGTGTGGTTGCTTCAAGGAGAACAATACGACAATACTTGAACAAAAATGATCTGCATGGCCAATTTTTCAGAAAGTAGCTTTCACTGCACCAATGCCACAAAAAAAGCCTGGCTACATTAAGCCTGAAAACACCTTGACATGCCTCGTAGCATCTGGCACACTGTAATCTGGAGTGATGGGATCAAAATAAACCAGTATGGTCACAACCATAAGTGCTATGTTTGACGCGGGGTCAACAAGGCCTCTAGTAACAAGACTAGCATTCCCACTGTGAAGCATGGTGGTGACTCACTGATGTTTTAAGGGTGTGTGAGCTCTAAAGGCATGGGGAATCATGTGAAAATTGATGGCAAGATGTTTTGTTTAAAAATGGTACATACTGGATACAATTCTCCAAGGGTATGTAAACTTTTGAGCACAATTGTATCATGTGTCTAAAATGCTGTTCTGCTGAACACCTCTGTAAGACGCAAATCAAGCAGCTGCTCTTTGAGGCGAGAATGGGTCTGCAGTGTTGTGTGAAAGATTACATGCCAGAATTCCGATGCTTGTACACGCCACACTTTATGTGCTCTAATGTCCTTTTTGGAACCTTCAAAAAAGAGCAGTTTTCTTTGTAGCATTGAAAAGGCTGCTAATTCAGTGGGGTTCATTTACTAAAGCTGGTTCACTCATAACCTCATGCACTTCTGCATAGAAACCAATCATCTTACAGGTTTTATTGCTAATTGAACAAGCTGAGGTTAAAAGCTGGCTACCATGCACAGGTGCACAAGATTCTGAGTGAACCAGCTTTAGTAAATAAACCCCAGTGTGTTCTCACATGGACTTCAGCAGGGCAGCAAATGTATTGCTTCTACTCAAACTTCCTTATGGTTCCAAACTCAAAACGGTTAGATCCCACCTCTGATTGATGTCAAGGGTCTCAACGGATTCTTGCCGGTGCAAAAATTCAGGTTGGAGTCCATCTGATAATTGCTTCACTTCAGCTAAGGACCTTGCTGGCGTCCGAAGATATTAAAGGATAAGTTCACCTTTCCACAAAAAAAAAATCATAAATGCACAATTTTTGCAGGTAATAAAATGTGCATTTATTTATTTTTTTTTTGTGTTAGGAGCCTGTAAAGCATTGCACCATCGATCAGCAGATCACTAATCCATCGATCAGCAGATCACTAATTCCATGCAGGTCTCCTGCACACTCAGTGTATCTGCTTGCTCATACATCCCGTACAGGCAAGCCTTTACTTCTGACAGGAAGACTCAATGAACTACCACAGTGCCATGGTTGTTCATTGAGGACTACAAGCCTACAGCCACTAAGGCTGTCGGGGCTTGTAGTCTATTCATTCACAGAGGACTGTGAATGACTGACACCATGTGGGTGGAGCCCCGCACGGCCGTGCTGTTTTTGAAAAGTGACAGCTAGTACGGAGAACTTCTCCTTGTACTTGTGCCACAGGGAAGTGGGGCAGCAGGCGGTGGCTTCAGGATCAGGAACATGCTACATGTCCCACCCTAAAAACGGGTGGAATATGTTCCCAAAGGTGAACTTATCCTTTAAGGATGCCTTCCAGTGTTTAGCCTCACCAAGCTTTCTAAGAGCTTGCTGTGGACAATTGCCACTACTAGTTGGTGGCATTGTCTCTTGGTCTCTCCACTACTCCGAGTGTTTTTACCAGTATAAAAATGTAGCGCATGCAGTATTTAACATTTCGTGTGTTTTTTGTTTTGTTTTTTTTGTGAATTGACTGCTTTTGATATAAATACCACACAAGTTATTTTTTTATTTATTTTTTAATTATAAATTTTTATTTCACTCTTTGGCATAATACATGTTACAGCATCCTGGTGAACATTCCACCTAACATGGTGGAACAGGAACAAACCTTGTAACACATAAGATGCAAACATCGGTAACAACCATGTCAAACTAAACTTTTTCATTGTAGCTCACTCGACGCGACAGGTGGTTACTTAAAATTATAAGTGCGACCAAAGGTCAAATACCAGGTAGTAGACATTGTTCAAACCCCCTACTGCCCCTCTGGTGCATTGTCCTGGGTACCAACCATGCAGGTTAGGGCCTCTAGAGCAAATTTTCAAAATGGAAAATAGAAGATAGAAACAGGGAGGAAGAGCGAGAGGAAGAAAGAAGAGAAAAATAAAAGGGGGGGGGGGGGGGAGGGAAAGGGGGGTAGGGGGAAAAAGGGTTGTAGGAGTGGTGAGGACTGAAGTCCTGTCTATAGAATGCCGGGGGCCTCATGAGTTAGAAAAAAAAAACAAAAAAAAAAAAAAAAAAAAAAAAACAAAACAAAAAAAAAAAAAAAAAAGAAACAAAAAAAAAAAACAAAAAAAAAAAAAAAAAAAATGGGTTGTAGGAGTGGTGAGGATCATCTGAGTTATTTTATCTCTAATACTCATGTGGTATTCAACTCTGATTTGAGCCCCTTGTGTCTTGTAATGAACTCCAAGAATGGTTTTCACGGGTATACAAAAAATCCTAATTTTGGCTTTTGATACACATTATATATATTCTATAGAGACATGAATGTCATAATGTACGGTCATTTTAAAGCTTTTAGGATGTTGACTATACACACCATATGTTTTTTACATGTGGGCCAGTACTTGGTAGGGCATGTGCATTCTATTGATTTTTGATCTGGCTGCTGTATGAAATAGGTCTTCTTACATTAAAACAAAAACAAGGTCTGTACAAACCAGCTCCTATATTTCAATAAAACACATAGGTGTGAATCCAGCCTTGCAGTTCATTTTTTTTTTTCCTTTTAGAAAGTAGCCACATACTGAGTGAAACAGCCTTTCCGCTGCCAGCATGCTGTGGAAAAGGGTGCTTGCTCCCTGTGAGGAAGCAGTGGTTTCTCTGCAAAGGTTCAACATGCCCCCTGCTGAGTCAGAGCTAGAACACTAGCATTCAGATCCTTGGATCTGACTCAGTAAGGGGAGTGTTAGACTTTTGCAGAGAGACCAGTGCTTCCAGAGAACAATGGTTGCTGGCAGGTAACAGCATGCTGCACTTTTACAAGAATTATTTGCTATTTCAGTAAGCAGTTTTAAGTTTTGACAAATAAGGATAGCTGCAAAGTACAGTCATGTGGCTGAAAAGAATAATTATGGCAGATAACATGTAGGATTAAAATATAACCACAGCTTGCAAGTGTTGCTTACTGAGTGAAACTTAGCGTTCATCCTCTAGTTTCTGGATAGTATCTTGGCTGTGTTGTATCAATCTCCTCTATACCTCCTAGCCCTGCTAGTCATAGTCTGTTACTAACATCCTGCCTTATGTTTCCTGCTTTCTTCTGTTTTACAGAATCTTTGAAATTGCCGCGGCCTCGGTTTGATGTATCGCTGTTTCACTTAACTCGCAAATTTATGGACATTATTAAATCTGCCCCAGAGGGTGTTGTGGATCTAAATGAAGCTGCTAAACTGTTGGGGGTGAGGAAAAGAAGAGTATATGATATCACCAATGTATTGGATGGTATCCATCTTATTCAGAAGAGGTCCAAGAACTTGGTCCAGTGGGTGTAAGTACTTAAATTGTTCACTTGTCCTCTGAACATGAATAGCTTGAATAGTTTTGGGTGAACTTTGATAGGTCCAATTACCTGGAAGCTTGTGAAAATGAACATCTGTAATGCACCTCCCCAAGATATGTGCGCTGACCCTGCTGTGCTTGTGTATATATTTTTTAGCTTCCTCATGGCGTTCTCTGAATATACGGCGAAATCAGCTACAGTCAGGTGGTATTGAATGGAATACAACTTCTTTTAAATATTACTGTTGTGGCAAGAGGAAGCCACCTTCTTCAAGACCTGGAGTACCCAACCCGCGGAAATCCAATAAATTTTAAGTTCAGGTTGACTTGAGCACAAACCCTTTTTAAAATAAAAAAAAAAAAAAAAAAAAAAAAACCTGAATTTAGCACTGGTAAAATATAGCTGACAATAATTACATGCCTCCATTTGTGAGCTCTGCCCACCAATGCAGCCTGGAGCCCCACTGAACTTCTACTATGTCTACCAAAATAGTGTGCAGGGCTTGACCAATTTGGTCATCTTTCTGCCAATACTCGGGTGGCCACCATCATGTACTATTTTACAATACACGGTGCATCTATACTTGAACATTCCCTAATCTTCCTGGGGTGACATGGGGCTGTATTGTCTCAACTGCACACACAAAAATGAGACTGAAAGTCCCCTGTATGCTGGTTTCGAAGAGTCTTTTCAGTTCCACTAACTGTAGTTGTCCTTGCTACCCCAGAACACCTGCCTTCCTTCAGTGTCTTTAGGTGGTAATACTAAAACTGTGTAGGAAAGCTTTTCCCTATAACATGGGTTTTTCATTATAAAAGTGTTAGGCCTGTTCACCCTTCTGTGGCATGTATTTAGGATTTTCACCACACAACAAAAAAAAAAATCTTAACATGCTTGTTTTACTTTAGTCTCATTTTCTGTTAGAGATTTAAAGTGTTTGTAAAGGCTAAAGGTTTTTTACCTTCATGCATTCTATGCATGAAGGTAAAAAAAACACCTCTGTGCAGCAACCATCGTAATACTCACCTAAGCCTCCTCTCGATCCAATGATCTGCACTGGAGTCTCGTCTATCCCTGGACTCTCTCTCCTCATTGGCCGAGACAGCAGCGGGAGCCATTGGCTTCCTCTGCTGTCAATCACAGCCAGTGAGCCAATGAGAAGAGAGAAGGTCCAGGCCGAGCTGTGGCTCCATGTGTGAATGGACACGGAGCAGCAGGTGTCCCCATAGAAAGCTGTTTGCTGTGGGGGCACCCAAAAGGAAGAAGGGGCCTGGAGACCCTGCGGGGGACCTGAGAAGAGGAGGATCTGGGCTGTTCTGTGCAAAACCATTGCGCACAGCAGGTAAGTATAACCTGTCTGTTATTTTTAGAAAAAAAAATGTAAGCCTTTAGTATCTCTATAAATTTTTGGGCATAGGCTCCGCCTCTCGTGAGACAAATCCTGCCCACCCAATAGCCCCTTGTGCAAAGAAAGTTTTTAATTGGTTACCGAGGCACTCTCATTGGATGGAAGTTATGACCAAAGTTGAAAATTCAAGCTCTCCACAATGCGTACTGCAAATGGGAGGAAAGAAAATTTAAATTTTAGTAGCTTAAGGAATGAGGTGACGATGTGAGTCTGAGGGCCGGTTCACACCATGCATGAACATGAATCGTGTTCCTGTGAGGTGCGATTTAAGACAATTCATTTTGAATGGGCTGAAAGCTCACTGCACCAAAGGTAGTGCATGCACTACTTTTTAAAACACTGCAACCGGATGGCATGGTACAAAAGTACTATGCGGGCAGGTGCAGGCAAACACACTGTTTTCAACCTGTGTTTGGGATGTCTTTAACTTTCTTTTGACACCCACTGCAGATCCCAAAAGGAATGTGTTTTGCATGTGGTGTGAATTACACAGGAACATACAGCTTGTTCCTGTGCGGGCATGGTGTTAACTGGCCTTGAGAACATAGCTAAAAATGATATAAGGTTCATCTTGCTGCTGTTGAAGTCAGCCCAATGGCCACCGCCTTCATTGAAATAAAAGTTTAGTGGATTGCACATTTTAAATGATTGCTGTTTTTGCTTTTTGTGTACAAAATCTACACATGCTGTTCTTGCAATCATACTCCAGTACATAACCAAGAAATAGCATCATCCTACATAACAAAAGCATTGTCTTCTAGTTAAAAGCCTTTTAATGGGATTGATTAGCAGTGATAATGCAATCTATTGAAGTGGAGCAGTGTTCAGGGAGATGCCTTTGTAATGATAATGGTTCTAAAAGCCATAAAAGGCTGATGGGTATCTACAGGGAATAGAGGAATGCATATTATAACAGTGAATTTCTACAGTGTTGACTGTAGCATGAATCCTGGATACCGCAGTGTAGCTAAAATGTTTGTAATGTCACATACAGAGGTGGGCAGTGTGTCCTTCCAGCTGCTGAAGAACTACACTTGCCAGGATCTCTGTCCAGCTGTTAGGGCATGCGGGGGTTTGTACCCAGAAAGACACCTCATTTACTGTTGGTTCTCCAAACACAAGTCATCTAATACTAGGGAGGATATAGGGCTGGAGGAGGGCATGGGCATTTATTTTATGGGATATTATGAAAGATGTTACTTGTCTTTTATAAATCAGAAGACAGGCTCAAAAATAGCAAAACACATTTTTCTATCTGAGAGAAAAAGAAAATAATTACCGTATTTTTCGCTCCATAAGACGCACCTGGCCATAAGACGCACCTAGGTTTTAGAGACGAAAAACAAGAAAAAAAATATTCTGAACCAATGTACTGCAGACACGGTACAGGGGATGACCAGAGACTGCGGACATAGTACAGGAGATGACCAGAGACTGCGGACATAGTACAGGAGATGACCAGAGACTGCGGACACAGTACAGGAGATGACCAGAGACTGCGGACACAGTACAGGGGATGACCAGAGACTGCGGACACAGTACAGGGGATGACCAGAGACTGCGGACACAGTACAGGGGATGACCAGAGACTGCGGACACAGTGCAGGAGATGACCAGAGACTGCGGACACAGTGCAGGGGATGACCAGAGACTGCGGACACAGTGCAGGAGATGACCAGAGACTGCGGACACAGTACAGGAGATGACCGGAGACTGCGGACACAGTACAGGGGATGACCGGAGACTGCGGACACAGTGCAGGAGATGACCAGAGACTGCGGACACAGTGCAGGGGATGACAAGAGACTGCGGACCCAGTACAGGGGATGACCAGAGACTGCGGACACAGTGCAGGAGATGACCGGAGACTGCGGACACAGTACAGGAGATGACCGGAGACTGCGGACACAGTGCAGGAGATGACCGAGAGACTGCGGACACAGTGCAGGAGATGACCGGAGACTGCGGACACAGTGCAGGGGATGACCGGAGACTGCGGACACAGTGCAGGAGATGACCGGAGACTGCGGACACAGTGCAGGAGATGACCGGAGACTGCGGACACAGTGCAGGAGATGACCGGAGACTGCGGACACAGTGCAGGAGATGACCGGAGACTGCGGACACAGTGCAGGGGATGACCGGAGACTGCGGACACAGTGCAGGGGATGACCGGAGACTGCGGACACAGTGCAGGGGATGACCGGAGACTGCGGACACAGTGCAGGGGATGACCGGAGACTGCGGACACAGTGCAGGGGATGACCGGAGACTGCAGACAGTGCAGGGAATGACCAGAGACTGCTGACCTTTGGGGAGGGAGGGGGAGCGGGTACCTGAATTTGACAGGTACCCGCTCCCACTTCCGCGGAGTTGTCCTTCCCTCTTCTTCCCGGGTCGGCTTCTGTGACAGCCGGATGCCCACTGCGCATGCGCGAGAAGCGCTGCGCTTTGTGAATGGCCCGGCGCCTTCTGGGACCTGTCATGTCCAAGAAGACACCGGATCATTCACAAAGCGCAGCACATGCGCAGTGGGCACCCGGCTGTCACAGAAGCCAGCGCATGGGAAGACTGTGCAGCGCTGGAGCGAGGAACAGGTAAAGCCATGCAGGAGACAACAGCTGAGCGGCCGGCCCGGTATTCTGACATGGTGGCCGCAAAAAATACCGGTCCGGCCGCTTTATATTCGCTCCATAAGACGCACTGACATTTCCCCTTTTTTTTGGGGGGAAAAAAGTGCGTCTTATGGAGCGAAAAATACGGTATACTACTAAAATATAAATGAATTGCTAAAAAGCTTTAAAGGCGATGTTTACCTAAGGAACATGTTACATCTTTATTTAGGGTGCAAAGGGTAACATGTTCCAGCACCACAACGTAATCTCATTGTTGCCATTTTTTTTTTTTTAATGGAGAAACTGGTATTGTGCTGGTTAAAACACAGGTCTTGGTAATGGTGCAGTAGATTAGCACATCATTAAAGTGCATAAAAAACCAAGAAGAGAAATTGATAGTATTGTAGCTTACCCATCCTTATATGTGCTCACTGCAGTAGTTATCATTTTTACACGTTTTCCTTTCCTTTAATCTGGAAATCCTGCCATTAAGTCACTTCCTCTTCTAGGGGTGACAGCCCTACTGAGCAGTGTTGTCGCCCTAGGACAGGGAGGGTGTTAGTAATACATAATGCTGTGTTAGAACTTCATAACACCTCTCTCTTTTTTCCATAACGGGGGAGGCGTTTTGTAGTTCCATGAGATAGCACTTGTTGAACAAGTATGATAAAACTGCTGTCTGATTAAGGACACCCTAGCAACCTCAGGAGGGACTCTATGGCTCCATGACACTGTGGTAAACAAAGGCTGCTCTAGGCAGATATAAAAGACATCATTTCCTCCCCTCACACTAGAGTGGTAGTTTTAAACCTACATCCAATAATTTTCCAAATCTTGCTACCTTCACCTTTGTTTTCAAAATGTACCCTTTCTTAAGCAATGACACTACCATCCTACAATTCACTCCCTTGTTCTCTTGCCTTGATTACTGCAATTCACTCATCATTGGCCTACTTTTACAGAGG